ATAGGCCACACCCAGCAGCAGAAACTCATTAGCATATTAGGCCACACCCCTGACAGCACAGCTCATTAGCACATTAGGCCGCACCCCCATGTTACCAGAAGTGTGGTCATCCAGCGACACCTACCTTTTGCTTCTTATTCTATTTACCTTGTTTGTTGTCAAAACCCAGAGCTTTTTTTGTAGAAGGAACTCCTTTGCATGTTAGGCCACACACCCCTAATGTAGCCAATCCTAATGAGTTTCTGCTGTTGGGTGTGGCCTATTATGCTAATGAGTTCCTGCTGGGCGTGGCCAACCTGGGAGCCAGCCGGAACTCCGTTCCTGTGCGTTCCTGCCCAAAAATAGCCCTGCCAGGCCAGAACATCTGCATAAATATTTTGGTGCAAAGATGGTTGCAACTGGTGCTGAGAGGAAGCGCCGTGGGATTCCCCTGGCCTTCCTACTTCTTTCATTTAGTGTTGCCCTGGGAAGATGCGCCTACCTCGTGATGTTGACATCCAGCAGCCAGCCTTCCCACATTGGCCGTGGCTGCCAGATGGACGGGCAGGAAGGTCAGCATGGATTATGGCAGCCCCAGCGTGCGTTGGCCGCCCATCTGTCGGCCTTTCGACAGCTGCCCTGCGGATGCTGCCTGTGGGCTTTGGCAGTCCCTGACGTCTCCCTCTTACGATTGGCTCGAGGTGCAGTTGTGCCTTTTCTGCATTAATGACCCCCAATGGCAAAGTTCGGATGTGCAGCAGGTCTTGGGCCAGTGATCTAGAGGATATCCGGCATGGATTCAGCCTCTGTGCACCAATACCCAAAGCAGGGAACATCAGGGAGTCCAGCTACCCCATCAAGAAAGCCTTGCACCAGTAGTGGTGGTCAGTGAAACTAACAGGGAGATTCAGCTCTTGCTGGCTCTGGGACACTCCTACTTGTCTTCCCCCTAGGCAGAGTGTGGCATTTGGAACCTCCCCCTGCCAGCAAAATCCTTCTCTGCAGTAATGCTGCTTCTTAAACACACACACACACACACACACATCCCAATTCTCCAGCCTTCCCACTGTGGTCTTCTCTCTTTCTTTGCCCAGAGTGTCAGTTTCCAATGAGGGGAATTGGCTTAACAAATGGCAAACCAGAAATACTAAATGGAAGCCTCCATGTTCAGAGGTAATATACCTCTGGATATCATATGCTGCAAACGTACAACAGGGTAAGGGCATTTGTGTTCTTGCTGTGTCTGTGTGCTTCTCAGAAGTGGCTGGCCAGCCACCGTTGTTATCAGGACGCTGGGCTAAATGGACCCTTGGCCCGACCCATCAAAAGGAGACTTAATCTTCTTAAAAAACAGAATATGCCAGTCCTTTCGGCCTCTTCCCCCTCCATAACACGCTTAGGTGGAAATGGAGCATGTCGGCCTTTGGCTCCACATTTGCTGTAGACATTGATGAATTAGAAAATGCTTGCATAGACTTTTGCAGCGGGAATTGCCGATTAATGGATCTCCGTTCCAGTGGCTCGAGGATTTGGAGGAGTGAGAGGAGGGTTCCATTATCCTCTCCCCCCCCCATCTCTTTTAAACCTCCTTAGAGGAGAATTGCATCACCAGAATAAACTCTCTTTGGCGGCTCATGCCCAGGAGGCAGAACTTGGCCAGCCGCTTGTAGGAGCCAGTCTCCGTGTGCTAATTCACCCTTGCGTGGGCGTTGCACATGGCAAGGGAATGCGGCCCTGAACAGCAGGAAGCCACATCACTTGGTCCATGCACAGGCGTTCATTTTGCTAACCCATGATCTCTTTGTATTCCCCCCTGTTGTCTTTTGCTTACGTTCACCCACAGCTGTTGCCTTCAAGTGTCAAACGCACACACACATTTCTTGGGCACAGGACCATGCCTTCCTAACAGTTCACTCAAGCCAGGGAATCAGGCAGCAGTATTTTCAGTGGCAGAACATTCTGTGATTTTAAAAAAAGACCCTTTGGGGAGGGCGCTGGGGGAGGACCAGACCACGTCTCACTAGCGAGGGACCCTTTGGGTTGGACCCAGCCAGCTTTTTCAGTCCATCTTACTCTGTTCCCCTTCCCATTACAGCCCCTGTCCTATATGGCTTGTTTCCATGTCAGTCATATAAAACCCAGCATAGCCTTTTGGGGTGTTTAAAGTAGACCTCGCCTTCCTTGTTCCCCGGCAGGAAAACTGGCTGGACCAAACCCTGTGATTTACATGCAAAATAATTCATTTTCCCCACTGCCTTCCTTCTAAGGAGCTTGGAACAACATAGGTATTCCCCCCTCACTGTATCTCCACCACAATCCTGCGTAGTATATTAGAGAGTGTGACTTAATCAAAACCACCCTGCAAGCTTCGTAGCAGAGGGGAGGTTCGAACTCATGTCTCCCCCAGTCCTTGAACCGTTACCCCATGCTTGTTCCAGGTTCAGTCCCAAGCAGCAGGGCGGGGAATGAGCTCTAATGAGAACTGCTGCTTTTTGGATTGGGCAGTGTTGAGCGCAGTTGGATGATTTGGGTGTTTTGTCAAGGATTAGTGAAGACAGTGGTACCTATTTATCTACTTGCAATTTCTTGCTTTCGAACTGCTAGGTTGGCAGGAGCTGGAACTAGAGACGGGAGCTCACTCCGTCATGCGGCACACTCGGGTCTTGCAAGTAGATTGCAAGTAGATAAATAGGTACCACTTCAGTGGGAAGGTAACAGAGTTCCGTGCACCTTGGGGCAGTGCGGTGGCTCAAGTGGTTAAGACGCTGAACTGCAGGCTGTGGGAAGGTCAGAAGTTCAGCCGTTCGAGACCCAAGTGTGCCGTGTGATGGAGTGAGCTCCTGTCTCTAGTTCCAGCTCCTGCCAACCTAGCAGGTCGAAAGCAAGAAATTGCAAGTAGATAAATAGGTACCATTTCAGTGGGAAAGTAACAGCGTTCCGTGCACCTTGGTGTTTAGTCATGCCGGCCACATGACCACGGAAACGTCTTCGGACAGCGCTGGCTCTTCGGCTTTGAAACAGAGATGAGCACCGCAACCCTAGAGTCGGACTCGACTGGCTTTCGAGCAAGGGAACCTTTACCTTTTTTTTTTTAGTGAAGACAGAGGGTAACTGTTTGCAGCCCAGCTCTTCTAACGCCGTGACATAGCTTGATGGACAAAGTGGTTCAGAATCTCAAAAAGGTTTGCGTGCTATTCTGCACATCTCGATCCCTGCCCACTTTTCCCACTGGCATTCAGTGTGCAGGTTGGTGCAGCATAGCGCCACAATCCTGCAAAATGCAGAACAGTGACCCAAACATCTCTTGAGAAAAGTTTTTAAATTGTAGGTGATCATCCAATGGCTCTATTGTTTTCCCCCCTGTGGAACGAAGGGCTTGTTCATACTGTTTGCTGAATCCAATACAAAGGATTTTTCTTGACAATGTGGCTCTGAGGTATCGGTCCGGGAGAGGAAAGTTGTGCATTTGAGTGTTCCTCTGCCTGATAAAGCTCCTTCATGCTGAAAACTAGTATGTCAGGAGCAAGGAGCAAGGATACTGGCCCTGGTTTTTTTCAGTGACATGCTTCTTTTCTAGAGATAGGGAGTTGGGAGGAGCATCCAAACATTAAAAAAACAAACCCATATGCATACATACACAAACCGCACACCAGAAGCCTGAAGTGATGTAGTCCAGGAGAAGCACTGCTACTTGGTCGTGGTGATTCTAGAAACTGTTCCGGGGGACTAAATTCATATCTTTCCATTTGGTGCCCTTTGTGCACCCAACCCTGCTGTTTGTTGATTTAAATATTGCAAAGTATTGAATTCATTTCAATCAGTTGCTTTCCAGTGCAAAATGCAGACTGTCGCAACTGGATAAGGAAATGGTTAAGGTGCAGTCTTTCTTTCTTTCTTTCTTTCTTTCTTTCTTTCTTTCTTTCTTTCTTTCTTTCTTTCTTTCTTTCTTTCTTTCTTTCTTTCTTTCTTTCCAGCAACAGTATTTAAAGGATGCTTTGGCAGATGCCACTGGCAGATGACGGGATATCCCTCGCTGTGCGGAGTTCACCATCTAAATTTAGTCTCTCGGCATCCTTGTTCCGGCTGCAGGGAAGGGAAGGGGGGGCGGGCTGAGGAGCAGGAGCAAGGCAGGAGACGTGGGGCCAGGCTGTCGGGGCTGCCGTAGCCGGGCTGTCCGTCAGGAGCCGCAAAAGCAAGCCATGCATGGCGAAGGCATGTGAGCTCCCCCCGGACTGTCTTTCTGCTTGCCTCTGAATGAGATTCACGGCTGTAGCATTAATAATGAACTGCCGAGTTGGGTTCTCCCTAGCATGGTTCCTGGGCTGCCCTGCTGACTTCATCCAGACCAGAGATCCAGCAGGATCGGAAGGACTGTGGTCCCGCTGCTTCTGAAATCCATCTCCCTACCGTGTCTGGGGAGTGAGCCAGCCAGCTGGCTGAGGGATTGGAAGAGAGCAAGTGAGAGTCCTTCCCCACACCACCCCTCCTCCTTGCCCTGGGAATCAGGATGCCTCTCAATCGAGATCCCCTCCTCCTGTATCCTTGTAAGTCTAAATGACGCAGCTCCCAAGCCCCGAGAGACAGCTGCAGCACAGGATTCGCTCTCCAAGCGGATGACCAGCATGGATCCAGAAAACAGCACAGAGAGCCCATCTCCTGCAGAAACTATCCTGGGCAATTTTTTGCTGAATTGAGCCCAAAAGAGGGCTGCAACTCGGAACGTCAGTCTATCTACCGAGCCCGTTGGCTCCTGAATCTCTCTCTAGGTTCATGGATGGGGTGATTTTCCCATGACATTTATTTCTGTTTCTCGCTCCCGGTTTGGGCTCTGTTCTGGAAAAGAGACCACCGCATCTGGACATTACAGGTCTCAGGGACACACGAGTGTTTTGTGTCACTCTTTGAAATTTTCCTCCTCCTCCTCTGGCTTATCCGGGACGAAATTGGGCGGACGTGGCTTTTTTGGGGGCAACCGGCTGGTGAAGCCCCTAAGGCAAGGAGGAAGTCTACGACAGGGCCAGGATGCAAGTCTCCTTCGTGTGCTCGGACCACAACATCAAGAACCGGAGCGCGGAGGACAGGCTCAACCGGCAGAATGCCAGCAGTCCCAGCACGCGAGGCCGGTTCCGCACAGTGGCCATGGTGGCTCGCAGCCTGGGGCACCTCTCAATGCAGAGCGCCCCGTCCTCCAGCGACTCCAGCGTGAAACAGCCTGGCATGAAATATAGGTATGGAAAGAGAGCCAAGACCTTTGCTAGTCCAGCCAAACCCCCAAAAGCCATTGGATTTGGACACCTGAGAATCTCAGCTTTCACTTAAGTAGAGCGTGTGCTGTGGTGTAGTGTCATGTGCTGTGGGAGGGGGGGTGTCTTTCAACCGCTTCCCTCTTCTTTTGACCGTCAGCCCCCCCTCATATGTGACCGTGCCCTTCTCTAAAGAAATGTATATGAAATCAGATGACACAATATAGTCAGGTATTGCTGAGCATGTACAGAGTGCCTCCATACTGACAACCAATGCTCCCTCTAAGCTGTGGAGTCTTGTGAGCAAAAATTCTGCTTTGTGAGCTGCTGGCATTAAAGTGGTGAGCGAGCTATATGGCTACTGCATCAGTTAGTTTGCTTTTGGAGCCCTCCTTCCTGAGCTCAGACAAAAATGGGTGAGCCGGAGGCTAAGAAACTGTGAGCTAGCTCACACTAACTCAGCTTAGAGGGAACACTGCTGACAACTGCACCATTCCCACCCTCCCTTAGAACTGAGCAGCATGGCTTCCTTTGAGGTCAAGTGGTGGGGCTTCCGTGTCAGACTGAGCCCCAGAACCTGTTTGTTTGTTTGTTTGTGATTAACTGCTCCCTCCCCTGACACTGTTCTGAGGACAGAGTCCAAATGGTTGGTTCTCACAGGGGCATTCCCTTGACAAGACGTTTGTAGGTCAGTGCGGCTTCCAGAACTGTCAGTGCCTTTCCTTCACCGATGTGTGCAGATGTGGGCAGGATGAGTCAGGAGCACCCTCAGCGTGCCTGAGCCTTGGCTTTGGAGACCGTGTTCTGCTTGGATGTACACATCTGGAAAGAATAATATACAAGAGCAGAGCTCTGTGGCCTCAGAAGCAAAACTGAGTCTGGTACAGAGCCAACTGGAAGGGCATCCCACTGATTGGGCCCTATGGTGTGGGTAAAGTAGCAAGCTTTCAAGTGGCACAGTACTTTTCTTAGAATTGCCTTCAGAAATGTTCTGTACTCGCTACTTATTGACACTGGAGGGGGCGGTCAGATGGGCAAATTTCCATTGTACAAAAATAATAAGAAGAAAAACCTTGAACAGCTGCAAGCATAAAGTATCAAGAAGATTCCTGAGCTGCGTGAAAGCTTGCTATCCTCTTCAGACTGTGGGGGCAATGAAAGGTACCATGTCAACCATCTTGGGTCCATTGGTTGTATTGAAAGGGACACGGCGTTTTGTGCTTACCAGTCAAAAACTCAGTGGTTCTGCTGTGATAACTGTAGCATTAAGCTCACCAGGCTCATTTGGGAAGGGAGACATCAGATTGAGCAGTAAGGCATGTATTTTGCATTCCAGAGGTCCCAGGATCAACCCTGGTCGCCTCCAGTTAAAAAAAAAAGATCTCAAGCAGCAGGGCTAGAAAGGACATTTCTCCACCTGAGACGCTGGAGACCCACTAGAGATCTCACTGGAAAATATTGGCCAAGGTGGACCAATGGCCTGATTTGGAATGAGGCACCTTTATAGGTTTGGGAGCAAGTAACAGAAACCCATTTGTTAATACCCATAGCTTTGCACCATCTTAGATTCTGGAACCCTGAACCTTCTTAATTGGGCTTCTGAGTTCTTAGGACATGGATTCTTGCTTCAGGAGCAAGAGTCCTGGGTTTGAATCCTGATAGATTTGAAGCCTGGACAAGCCTGATAGTTTTGAAACCTAGACAAACTGTGTGTGTGTGTGTGTGTGTATGAGAATGAGAATGAAGCCTGCAGAATTTCTTTAGACAATTTGGGCAGGTGGCTGACTGTACCAGGGGAGCAGGGCTGGGAAGTAGCCCTGCTTGAAACATCAAAGAGCAGCTCCCAGCTGGTGAAGACAGCATCTCTCCAGAATTCAGATAGCAAATTCCTCCCGAGAGCAGGATCCGTCTATGTGATGTTGCCCTGTACTCTGATGGGACTACATGGGATCAATAAGCAGTGTTGTGGGTTGGATTTTAGGGCGTTTTCATGCACAGTCTTGTTTTCCATGGTTTGCACATTCTTCATTGTGACAACACTGTGCTCCAACAATCCCAGCATCTTCTGCCCAGTTTGGGCGGTTGCTCCTCCCGTACCCCAGTTTTTGGAAATGACTGCTTATCCTTTTCATGCAGAAGACTAAATGCTCTTGTTCTGTAATTCCTTTAAGTCTGTGTCCATCTCCCACCCCAACCCCCAGTAGTTCAACTTTTTCCGTGGTTAGCATTCAGAACTGACGGGGCTGTAGCTCAGTGGCAGAGCATCTGCTTAACCCGCCCAGAGTCCCAGGTTCAATCCCCAGTATCTCCAGTGAAAAGGATCAGGTAAACTTGGGGCCTTGGAGAGATGCTGCCAGTTTGAGTAGACAATACTAATCTTGGTGGATCAGTGGTCTGATTCAGTCTATATTTCAAGGGAATATTAATACAAACTCAACCCATGAAATGAGCTCTCTGGGTGCCCTCCGCCGGTGCTATTTCTGGCCCAACACAAGATGTTTCAATGACTCTTTTTAATCAACGCTCTTGACTGCAGTAGCTGAGTAGAACCTCCATGTATCAGGCAGGTGAGCCGGGGACTTGAGAACCACAGGTAGGCTCTGGTCTCAGGTCTAATCAAATACAAAAGTGAATAAGGGTATAGTGTCCGGCAGCATGAAGCCTCTGGATTGGTTTATGTCCTGGGAGTCTGGTTGTTCTTTTAGTTAGTTACACTCTGCTTTTCTTCCCCCATGGGAACCCAAAGCAGTTTACAATATCACTGGCCCCTCCTATCTCCATCCCAGGCTCACCCATCCGGCAGAGTGGGGTTTCAGACTTTGGTCTCCCAGATCCTACTTTGTTACTCTAACTGCTACACCATGCTGACTCCATGCCCACTTCAGGAGAGCAGAGCCTTCTGCCTCGGACACTTCAGACCCCAGCTTTAGCATCTCCTGCTTCACACCTCCAGCTCCAGAAACTGACCTTGGGCTGCTGGACTCAAGAGCGCACTCTGTAAGCTTCGCTTTGGGGACTCCCACAACCAGCAGTCATGCTTCTCTGCAATTGCCTGGAACAGGGGTCATTTCGTAGAAAAAGAGCTAGGGGAACTCATTAGCATAACTCATTAGCATATGCCACACCCCCTGACATCAGGGGCCCGGCGGTGGACCTGCAAGGACAGCGGGAGTGCAAGGAAGCCCTGCCAAGGCCCTCCCTGGCCCCAGGCAGGCAGGGGTGGGGAGAGGCGGGGAGGAAGCAACTTACCCTCCTTCTTCTCCTGCCTCCTCCTGGCTAAATGAGGGCTGGAAGTGGGGCGGCCGGAAGCAGGGGGCGGGGCTTCGTCATGTGCCCCGCCCCCCTGCACCTCACCCGGGGGAACTGCGTTCCCCCGCGTTCCCCCCCGAAATGACCTCTGGCCTGGAATAATGCAAAGCCCAAGGGATTGCCAGTGAGGGCTGAGACAAGAAGGTAGCAGTAGGTTTAGCAGCTCTGTTGGAAGCTGAAAGAGAGTCTTGGAGAAAGAGCCACTCAGTCCCTGGGCTTTGCAGCATGCATTGGTTTCTGGACTGGCTGCTATTTTATTCCATCCCAACCCACATGTCTGGGAGCCAGCAGGTTCTTAACAAGGGCCCATAAGTCTCCCCCTTGGAGGCAAACTGGCCCTGCACCAAAGTTACCTTGCTCTCCTTGTAGGTGGGATGAAATCTAATTTTCTGTGTGTGTGTGTGTGTGTGTGTGTGATTGCGTGCCTGGAAATCATGGTGACTTCTGGTGACCCCTAGTGGGGCTAGGACATTTCAGAGAGGCGTTTTGATATTGCCTGTCCTGGCCCTGGTATTCCTTGGAGGTCTCCCTTCCAAGTACTTGCCAAGGTCAGCCCTGCTTAGCTTCCGATATCTGACGAGATCGGGCTTGCCTGGGCTGTCCCGGTCAGGGCAGGACGAAATCTAATTTTCGCTCTCCCATTAAAACATGAGTCTAGCAAAAGGCTAGCACATTACACGTCCTCTGACAAGGCTGGTTGTTGAATGGACAGGAGCAGTCATGATAACCACGGTCACCAGGGCATTTGAGAATTCTGATCCACGAGTCAAGAGCCTCCCCCTGAGGGACGGGACTTGTGATGTGCTCATGAGCAGGTCTAAGAACGCTGCGGCTAGGCTGCTGGTGGGCTCTCCGCGGTGGGAGCACATCCAACCAGTGCTTAGGTCACTGCACTGGCTGCCTATAGCATACCGGATCCGTTTCAAGGTGCTGGTGCTTACCTTTAAAGCCCTACATGGCCAGGGACCGACCTACCTGAGGGACCGCCTTCTCCCATATATACCCCAGAGAGCACTACCGTCCGGGACCCAACACCGACTGACTATTCCGGGCCCCAAGGATGCAAGGCTCACCAGTACCAGGACCAGAGCCTTTTCAGTGGCGGCTCCTTACTGGTGGAATGAGCTCCCGGAGGAGATCAGGGCCCTGCGGGACCTTTTACAGTTTCGCAGGGCCTGCAAGACGGAGCTCTTCCACCAGGCCTTTCAATAGGAGCCGCCACTACTGTTACCACCAACGATCCTAGCGAATGCTCGGATCTTAGATCTGGTCCTGATGTATCGCTAGGCCTTCCGGCGCGAGGATGATGAGCGGTGGAATAACATAGAACGAGATCTGGAAGCACGCCATCTAATGTGTAATACTGTTTGCACTTTATTGTTAACTGTAACTTATGTTTTAAAGTAATTGCTTATGAGATTTTATAGAGTTTTTAAGTTTTATGTATGACAACCAGGTACATTGTACCGTTTTGTTAGCCGCCCTGAGCCTGCTTGCGGGATGGGCGGGGTATAAATATAATAAATTAAAAAAAAAAAAAGAATCCAAGCTTGCTCAGAGTAGTGCAGGCAGCCAGCGGTATGGCCATTGAGTGCCAAGCGAGAGAGAGAAAGAGCCGAATGGATGGGTAGGTCTGGGCGAGTTTTCTCTTGCGGCCCTGCAGAGTTCTCTGCAGAAGCGGGGTGTCTATTGCTGATATGCTCTGGGAGGGGAGTGTGGGAATGAGGTCTTCTGTCCCTCTGTCTTCCTTCACAGCGTTGGGTGGTTTGCAGGCCTTTCTCAGGCAGCACCTCCAGGGAAGTGGAAGATGCAGACATTTCAAAGTTTCATGTGTGTTGCAAGAGGACAGGTTAGGGAGGGACCATGGCTCCGTGCTTTGCAAGCCGAAGGTCCCAAGTTTAAGTCCTTTGGCATTTCCAGGTAGTAGATTTATGGGGAAGGTCTACCTGAGCCTTTGGCCGAGTGGTAGACCACCTGCTTTCCATGCAGAAAGTCCCAAGTTCAAATCCCAGGGTTTCCAGTTAGAAGGTCAGTTAGCAGGAGACGTGAAAGTCCTCTTCCTGATCCACTGTCCGTCAGGGTAGATAATACTGACCTTAATAGATCAACAACCTGACTCAGTCTAAGTCAGGTTCATGTGGGGATGTGGGGGGGGGAGAGAAGAGAGTAGAGCAGGAGGAAATCTCACACCTCTTTAAGCTCGGTTAGGTGTGAGGGGCAGCCGGTAAAGATGACTGTTCTTTGAGCTAAGGTGAGAAAATGCCCAGAAAACGTGGCCCATACTTCCCAGAGATGAAGTGGTTTTTGGTGCTGCTCTGAGGAAAGGGGAGGGGGCTTCAGTGGAGAGCCAAGGTTGCCCCTCCCCAGGTCCTCTAGGAGAGCGCTGTGCAAACATGAGAATGTTGAGGCTTTGTGGACAAAGCTCGGGCTTCTGTGATCTGGCAACACTGTCCTGTGACAATGGACTTGCAGGGCCGCTGCAGGGCCGGAAGGAACCAGCTCCCTTTTCCCTCTTGCCTGCCCTTCATGGGTGAGATCAGAAGGCGCCGAGAGGCAAAGGAACCGCCACAAAGGATTCCAACCAGCTCCCAAAAAGTGACAAGCTCAGAGAGATGCAACACCCTCCGTATCTCCCCCACCCCTTCCCGATGTGCTGGTGCCGCCGCCTCTCTGGTCATCGCGATTTCTTTCCAGTATTTGAAAAAAAGAGAAGCTGATGGTAAAAGTAGAAAATGCTTAACACTTGTGCTTTTTCCACATGGTCAAATTGTGCCGTGTATTTTAGCTCTGTGATCCTTATGCAGCGATTAGCTCTGTGTTTCTGCTCTAGGCATGGGGATAATACTGAGGTTAAGAGGGTTGACCGAGGACACTTCGGCAGGATTCAGCCATCATGCCCAACCAGGGTTCGGTACTATGTAAGTGAGCATCATGTGAACATGCTCTCCCACTCATCCCTCGTGTACTCTAACTCAACTGAAGACATCCCGTTCAGAGCTGAGCACAGTGTATTATGCATCTGTGGTTTGTGATTATACGAGCATATTTTTATCCTGGCCATCCTTCGAGGAGCTCAGGCAGCATACATGAATCCTGCCGTGTTTTGTCCTCACAATAACCCTGTGAGGTAGGTTAGGCTGAGAGTGTGACTGGCCAAAGGTCACTGATCAAGCTTCCATAGAGTGGGAATTTGAATCAGGGTCTTCCTGGTCATAGTCAGACAATGACCACTATACCAGGCCGCCTGTCAAGGTAATGCATCACTCAACAATGGTTTGCAGTCAAGCTCGGTTTGGTTTATTTTCGTTCCAGTCCAATGGGCATAATACACAAATCAAATATTGCAGATCTTAGAACATAAGCAAATTCCCTGTTACTAAGTCTTTCTTGACCCTGTTTAACAGTACTATGACTGCAAAACATAAAATTTTTGCTGATGATGATTCAAACTTTTCATCTGTGGTTTACACTGCGGTAGACTCTGTGCAGTGGTAGCACCAGGCTCGTCTCCGTAGCTAGCAGTTCCTGGTTTGGCGCAGCATCCGAACCATGTCCTCGGTTGTAGTGGCTTTTGAACTCAGGTCTTGCTAGCTCACAGATCGTGCTTTTAACCAGCTGAAATAGCATCTGTAGATTTCCTGGGAAAGCCCTTGCGCTCCTATCCCAAACACATTTAATATGTTCCCTCTGTTTGATTGGTCTGGGCAGATGCCTAGCTGCACACAATCCTGCCTTCAGAGATAAGGATAGCCTTAAATTAATTCTGGCAGGCAGTATCCAAATTGTCCATAAAGTCATTCCTGTGGTTACACAGATGCGCACAAATTGCTGAAGCTTTTGGTTTTGCTCATGTTTATTCCTTAAATTAGCAGTCACCTGTTCCAAAACAAGGACTGTTAGTAATCTGACCACTGCAGTTTCCTCTAAATAAAAAAGCAATAATATTTCATAGCATTTCCCCGTCTCTCAGTGAATGTGGTTGCAATGAACAGCTGCAAGTGAAAACCTTCTGCAACTGTTATATCAGTGTTATCGAGTGGTAGCGGAATGGAAGGAATGTGCTGGCCATTGTGGTCTGTGTTCTTTTCTTTACTTGTGTCAGCTGAGATGTAACCATCCATCCCCCCCCCCCTTTCCGTGATTTAACTTCTGGAGATGATGAGAGAGGGCCTGAAATCTAAAAGGACTGTACCACATGCAGTGGACCAGGGGTCCCCAACCCTTTTGAGCCTGCAAGCACATTTGGAACTCTGACCTAGCATTGTGGGCACAGCAACAAAATGGTTGCCGCAAGACAGCTGCTCCGGGAGGCGGAGCCAGCCACAAAATTATTGCCACCACTTAACTTCAATCACACAGTGTAGATCCTTGTGCTGTGGTGAGAGGTGCTGCCAAAGCAACATTTTAAAAAAATATCTGCACAGCTGATCAAATCTCCAGTAGTCAATCAAAAGCCTTGCTGGGCAAAAGCCCCACCTGGCCCCACCTGCTTCCTAAAAACACGTGGCAGGTGCCAGAAAAGCTATTGGCAGGCCCACGGCACCCACGGACAACTGTTGGGAAGCCCTGGCAAAACCAAAGCATTTTCTCTGATCAAAAAGTGAGTCCTGGAAATCGACCATAGTCGTTTGATTCTGGGAGGCCACAGAGTATGCTCACCCCTATTTTGTGGTATTCCTTACCCAAAATCTTTTTTTAAAAAACCCATAAGTACTATCTTACCATCCCACCTTATTGCAGGGGGTTTTTTGTTCGCAAGACTGAAGGGAGATTTTTGAATCGGCCCTACGCTGACAGAATTTGCCCTTGTGGCCTTAACAGGATTGATACATCCTTTCACGCCCTGCTGGAATGCAGATTTTTTTTTTTTGAGATTATGAGGGATTACTGTATTAAGCCTTTATTCAACTAATCGGCTCCCCGTACTCCAGAAACCCTGGCCGTTTTGCGCAGTGATAAGGATCCTAAGATCGCTCTAGCAATCGCAAAATTTGTCTCCGTCCTTTTAGCCCTTGCATCTAAAAAATAAGAAATAAGCATTTTGTGCTGCTCAAGATTTGTAAACGAATGAGCTTCTAAGGGTACAAAAGGAAAGGAAGGAAAGGTTGGGGACCCCTGCAGTGGACACTAATAACATGTTCAAAAGGCCTCGCTCCCAACATCTCCCAAAACACATATTTGGAACATCAGAACAGTCCTGCCAAATTTGACCAATGGTCCATCTAGCTGCGGTGGCTCAAGTGGTTAAGACGCTGAACTGCAGGCTGTGGAAGGTCGGTAGTTCAGCAGTTCAAGACCCGAGTGTGCCGCATGATGGAGTGAGCTCCCGTCTCTAGTTCCAGCTCCTGCCAACCTAGCAGTTCGAAAGCAAGAAATTGCAAGTAGATAAATAGGTACCACTTCGGTGGGAAGGGAACAGCGTTCCGTGCACCTTGGTGTTTAGTCATGCCGGCCACATGACCACGGAAACGTCTTCGGACAGCGCTGGCTCTTCAGCTTTGAAACGGAGATGAGCACCGCAACCCTACAGTTGGATTCGACTGGCTTTCGAGCAAGGGAACCTTTACCTTTACCTTTTACCATCTAGTCCAGCATCTTGCTTTCTGACAGCGGCCTGGCAGAGGCCGCACGGAAGCTCGCCAGCTGCCTCTCCCCCCCTCCTCTGGCAACTGCCCTCCCCTGCTGACTGCTCCCCAACCTCTGACAACCAGAGCAGCATCCTTCCTCTGAACCTGGAGGGTCCCGTTCAGCTATGGTAGATCTCCCCTCCGTCAAATAATGAACAGGAGTTAATAAACAGAGGCCATCCTTGGCAAACCCAGGCAGTGGAAGCCTACCGCCGTTTCCCCCAAACCACTGTGAAGCTCAGCTCGGATGGCAAACGTTTCCTGCACCCCCGTTTAATTCTGCCAGATTATGAAACCTCCCAGTGTTCCCACGCTCCCTTTCCCTTCTGCGGTTTCTGGGGGATGATGAACGCTGATAGGAGCTGAAGTGACATCTGCTGCTTCTCAGCATCACTGCAGATGTGCCAGAGGCCAGCCTCTGCAGCCGACATCTGTGCAGCTGCTGATTAAGAGGTGTCTGTGTGTTTTTCAGAAACCTCGGAAAGTCGGGACTGCGAGTTTCCTGCCTCGGCTTAGGTAAGTAGATACGTGGGGCGGGGGAGCTTCCTTTCTTTCCAGCCGGGCTCAGTCAGGTGTAGGAACAGCGTGTTCCACCACAGATGCAGTTCAGTGTTGCATTTGGAGCAGAACTGGGTATATTGCAAGCCACCACTGTTCCCTCTAAGCTGAGTTAGTGTGAGCTAGCTCACTGTTTTTTAGCCTCCAGCTCACACATTTTTATCTCAGCTCAGGAGGGTTGGCTCCAGAGCAAACTAATTTATGCAGCAGCCAAATTACTTGCTCACAACTTTATTGCCAGCAGCTCACAAAGTAGAATTTTTGCTCACAGGACTTCACAGCTTAGAGGGAACATTGCAAGCCACCCATTGGTTTTCCTTTACAGGAGCCCCACTGCTACCAGAGTTGCTCGCTCCCTGTGTAAGCAGGGCAGTCCTTGATTGCAAAAGGGCCACCTTGTGGCATATAACAAAATGGGCATCTCCGTGCCTTTCAACCCACATGAATGCTTTTCTGTTAACTGCAATGCGTTTTGTTATTCAGCCATCGGTCTAAGCTGAGTTAGCGTGAGCTAGCTCACTGTTTTTTAGCTTCCAGCTCACACATTTTTATCTCAGCTCAGGAGGGTTGGCTCCAGAGCAAACTAATTTATGCAGCAGCCAAATTACTTGCTCACAACTTTATTGCCAGCAGCTCACAAAGTAGAATTTTTGCTCACAGGACTTCACAGCTTAGAGGGAACATTGCAAGCCACCCATTGGTTTTCCTTTACAGGAGCCCCACTGCTACCAGAGTTGCTCCCTGTGTAAACAGGGCAGTCCTTGATTGCAAAAGGGCCACCTTGTGGCATATAACAAAATGGGCATCTCCGTGCCTTTCAACCCACATGAATGCTTTTCTGTTAACTGCAATGCGTTTTGTTATTCAGCCATCGGACCACTTATCGGTTATACGGATGCTTCTCAAGGGATGTATAAATGGCTTCTAAAGAAGCCATGGAATTTCATGATACAAAACACTTCAAATTCTTACATCATTACCTCCTTAACAGCTGTGCTGGAAGGCAGATCTTAGCAGTGAGAACAGGCTTGGTGGAGGGGCGGGGTTGTTTCAGTTATCAAGAAAAGCAGAGGCGCTCAGCTCCATCGGATCGTAGGTCCATCTGTCCCACCGTACTGTTCCCAACAACGGCCAGATAGAGAAGCACACAAGGAGGCCATAAAAGCAACAGCCATCCCCTGTGGTTTGTGCCCAGGAACAGATATTTTGTCTCTGAATTTGGAGGCTTTATTGAGCTACCTGTCCTCCATGAATTTATCTTTCTCGTTTGAAGCTAATACTAATCTGCTATATTTGCCAGACGATTACATAAACCTTTAAAATGGGTTTTTCCATCAAAGTTGGGGTAGGAGTTGTTGTTTCCAAGTGCATCCTCCACATGATTCTGCAACCTTCTACTGCCTGAAACTTCAAAGAATGCCTCTCTTTAGGAAGATGATACACAGATTTGGTTATCTTGGTAGCCCCTTTGTTATCCCAACAGCAGCTCAGCAGGCAGGAATTGTCACTCACTGCATCCTCCAGCCTCTTCTTAGATGCTCAGACTCTCTAAGTTGTCTCTATCTTAATTTACAAAATGTCTGTACCACTCTTCTGTATTTGAAGGGAACTCAAATCAGTGTAAACAAAGGGTGGGACTCAGGGTAGGCCCAGGTAAGTCCAGCCTACCCGGTTATTTTAAACATAGGTAAAAGGAAGGCCGAGCACCGAAGAATAGATTTTTTTGAACTATGGTGCTGGAGAAGACTCTTGAGAGTCCCTTGGACTGCCAGAAGATCAAATCAGGCGATCCTAAAAGAAATCAACCCTGACTGTTCCCTGGACGGCCAGATAATGAAACTGAAGCTCAAATACTTTGGCCACCCAATGAGAAGGGAGCACTCACTGGAGAAGACCCTGATGCTGGGAAAGATTGAAGGTCAAAGAAGACGGGGACGGCAAAGGATGAGATGGTTAGACAGTGTCATCGATGCAACGAACATAAAATTGAGCAAGCTTCAGAGGATGGCGGGAGACAGGAAGGCCTGGCGTGATCTGGTCCATGGGGTCGCGAAGAGTCGGACTTGACTGTGCGACTGAACAACAAAAAAGCAGATAGGTGGACCCAGTCTACCTAATTATCATTACCTTGAGAGCTCACATAATCTCTTGGTTTTTAAACCTTTACTTAGGTTAACAGAAGACAATAGCAGTAGAAAAGATCAAGAGCTCAGTAGCACCTTAAAGACTAACCGACTATGTGGCGGGGGATGAGTTTCCCCTGTCTGTATCTGAAGAAGTGAGCAGTGTCTCACAAAAGCTCATACCCTGCCACATAGTTGGTTAGTCCCTAAGGAGCTACTGGTCTCTTCCTCTTTTCTACTGCTGCAGACAGACTAACACGGCTGCCCATCTTGAGAAAACAGTAGAAATGTTTAGAAAATAAAAACTTGGTTTAGGGTTACATTTTTTATTGTATTCCTAAGATTCATTTTTGTGGACTTGCAGCTCGTTGTGACAGGCTGGCTTCTTCCTGAGTTAGAATCACACCGGCCCCGGTCACACGGAAGGTTTTGGCCCAGGAGAGGGACGGATCGGGGGCGCAGCAAACGGGCGCGATCTCACCGCAACATCTGGGAAGCGGCGCGCACCCGTCCCCAATCCGGCCCTTCAGGCTGAAAACCCGCAACAAAAAAGAGCCACCCCCAGAGGAGGACATACCAGGAACGCCGCATCAAGCACGGCCGTGGGATCGCCGCCGCACCCATCGTCTGGAGCAATGCAGGCTCCCGGCCGAACTGCGCATGCGCACACATGCGCAGTTCGGCTGCCTCGCTCCCCCCGGCATCTGATCATGCCGGGGAGGAAGTGCGCGGCGGCTCAGGGGATCTATATGAAACGGCGGCTATATGAAACACACACACACACACCACCCTCTTTCTAACAATGGGGGAAAGTTTTTTCATTCTCCAATAAGGGAGGGGGCACACAATAAATGTTTTGCCACAGCTTGATTAAAATCGGTACTGCCAGCAAGGATGGATACAATTTCTTCAGGGGGCTGACCCAGGGGACACCAGCTGCCCAGCTGTCTCATCTAAACTTTGCAGAGTTCACGGCCGCTGTCCCTGTCAGGTTCTGCCGAAGAGCTTTCAAAAGCAAGGCTGCCTGGAGCTGCTTTCTTGCCTTCACTGGAATTTAATTATTCTGCACCCCATGTGTCTGTGAGGGGGGTGTTCCTCCTCCCGGGTATCTCCTCTTGAGAGTAAGGGAAAGAAGACGGCAATGAGAGAATCTCCAGGGTTCAGTTAGGGGTGAGGTGCGTATTGTTTGTCCCCAAAGGATTTCCCGATTATCTTTCTGCCCGTGTGGTTCTTCCACCCCAAGCAGCAGTTGCATGACCCTCTTCAGAGGCCTTTGGCTGGTTGTCGGGGTCAGAAAGGCAGTCCTGGAGCAGGCAAACATCCATTTGACGCAGTGTGGTGATGTGAATGGACATTGGAGGACATGTTCCTGAAGAAAGGGGAAGAATCCTTTCTGGAGATTTCTGGAGCTGTGGCGCATGGGCCCTTTCTGGACCGCTCTGTGCCAGATGCCGCTCGAGCTCCCTTGGCCTTGATACTCTCAGCATTAAATAGAAACCAGACTGACCAGTTATGATAGTCCTTCTCTGTTTTTATTTACTATTTTTATGGGCCACCTTTCAGCACAGACTGTTCACAGGAAAGATAACTTCATCTGCCCCTGCTCCCCATATTTCATAATCATGGCATTCATGGATTTATACCCCTGCCACATTTTGCACTTTGGTTGCAGCTCCAAAAGGTAATTTCCAAACTGGAAATAAACTAAAAAGTTAAAGGCTTCTGTGCACCTGAAGCATTCCTCTGCAGAGGAGACTTGACAGTTGTGTCTCTGTGTGATTTGTTGCTCTGGCTCTCTCCAGTCAATCACAGCTGGTGGACAATGTCTCAACTGCATCTCTGCATTGGGTCATGTAATTACTTCTGATGCAAAGACACAGCAGAACTGCTCACCCTTGGAGGAATATACCCATTATATCTCTGCACGAATCGCTGTTGTCGTCTTCTCAACAGTGTCACACACAAAAACACAAGGGGGGAGGGTGTTTTTGAGGTATTCAGTTCTTACTGTGGTATTGTTTAAAAGTGAATTTTTGTGGGTATTAGCTTTCGTGCGCATGCACGCTTCTTCAGATACAACATGGCTACCCATCTGAATTTTTGTGGGTATAAGAAAAAAACAGGGTAGGGAAAATTGTACATAATGCATTTGCATATAATTTTTTGTTTACCATGCAGTGGGCAACCTGCTCTGCAGGTGGGTGCTTTGGGCTCACGGGGGCCTTTTTTATTTCATTGGTTTTGCAGTTTGGGTAAGAGATTGAGTCTGGCCCACATTTAATGGGTGAGTTCCACAGCTGGGTGAGGATTTGAACGTATCCAGGTCCTGGTCTCTAGCCACTACACAACACAGTTCCAACGTGTGTGTGCCCCACAGACATTGGCAGGCACGTACTTGCATTGACATACATCTTCCTCGGGGGACTGTGAGCTTTCAGGGTTCTCTTCTGTGCTTGGAGTTCTCGACATGGTCGTTATGCAAAGCAGAGGGTTCCCCAGGGCCACATTGGCAGTGATGTGATTTCATGTGCCCTTCGTTTTACTTCTCCATCCGGCAGGGATCTGAGCTCTTGTGTGTGTGTTCCCCATCCTCCTCCTTTGTGTCTCTTACAGGAACATGGGTGACGTTTGGAGGCCAGATCACGGACGAGGTAAGAAATCTTCCCCTACTCCATTCCATTCCATTTATTCAAAAAGTCTATATAGCATGTTGGCTTTTCGACACTGTAAAAGAGATTAGGTTAAACGTATAAGAACAAGAGACCCAGCATTTGAGAAACAAATAAAAAGAAAGATATACAACTTGTGAAAAGTGATACAGATAAAAATCCATATAGACTCCACGCCAGTCATCAGACTTACTTCCTTGTTATTCCAAGGCTGAGAAAATGGCATTAGCCCAGATTTTTAAAGCTACTAAGAAGTATTTAGCAAGAGTGAGAGTTAGTACAGGCACTGTCTTGAAATATTTTTATTTTATTTTATAGGTATTTTCATTTGCAGATCTTTTTAAAAGCAATATTGTGAATTTGACAAATGAGTGTCTGTAAATATGCAAGTATATTCATCAGGGAAGTGTGATGGACCACTGCTCCTTCTTGAGGCTCTGACAGAGGAGAGGGAGATCTCTCTTCTTCTCTGTTCCATCTCGAAAATGCAAATTTCAGGCTTCTACAGCCTGAAATTTGCCTTGGGGCCACGCAGGAAACAGAGATGACATTTAACCCATCAGCCTCCAGGCTCCTCCCACTTCATAGTTAGCATTTTAAAGGCAAAGAGAGGTTTCCTTTTAAAAACACTCTCCCCTATTTTGATACGCTTAAAAACAAAGCAGAGAGCCCATTTTCCAATTGCAAAACCAAGCCGAGGGTGAAGCATTAAACCCCTTTCCCGCATGGCCTCCAAGGCACGTTTAGGATGTGTGACTCTGCAGTATGCCTTTTATGGACCAAACAAGAACAGAGATGTAATCTTTGTCATCCGGATCTTCCTTGTCAGGCCTGTTCTTAACTCACCACGTGGCTGGGTCCCGGGGAAGGGGAAGGGGAAGGGAGAAGAGCATTAAGTTAAGAGCCTGCCCTGGGCATAGGAATAAAAAGTCTGTGGCTAGAAGAGGTTTGGCAGGTGGGATTGTACCAGTAGTGCATGCACTGCCTTGTGTCAAACTATCGGGTCATTTCGAGCAGGAACGTGGAGGAATGGTGTTCTGGGAGTAACAAGCCCAGCCCGACCCCCCCGACTTCCTGCTAAGGCTCCCAGCCGTCAAGCATTTGTTTCTGTCAGTAAAATGTAGGGGGAGAGAGCATGTCAGGCCTGACAGCAGCCACCATGCAACTTGCATAACTCATGCAGGCCCAGCTGCTTGCTGCTGCTCAACAGCTGCTGCCCCATGAAGTGTTGTGTAGTGGTTAGTGTTCCAGACAAGGATTTGGGAGACCCAGGTTTGGATCTGAACTGGGAAGTACCTGGAGATTTTTGGGGTGGAGCCTGAGCGGTGGGTGTTGCCTTCTGACTCACTTCCGGTGATGTCAGGGGAATGGCATATGCAGATAAGTTATGCTAATGAGTTGTGCTAATGTGCTCCGGCACTTCTTTTCCTACTAAATGACCCCTGCAAAACTATCCCTCTCTTGCAGATGGCAGAGCAGCTGATGACCCTGGCCTACGATAACGGCATTAACCTCTTTGACACGGCTGAAGTCTACGCAGCTGGGAAGTAGGTTCCTTCTTGCTTTGCGTAGCGCAGTTCTATATTCGTGTAGGTACTTCTTAAAGCATTTCCCATCCATTATCTCAGTATACCTTATGACAGCCCTGCAAGGTTGACCTGGCCAGCATCATTTTCTCCAATATAAAAGATGAGGAGCTGCGACTTAGTGCAAAATTGTCATCATAAGTAATTTAGGGAGGACTTTTCCTGACTTATTAAAAGTGAGAGAGAGAGAGAGAGTGCAGCCCATCTAGTCCTTTAAATCACTTAAACATGTGATGCATCCAACATCCAGCTGAGGGGGGGGAGCCTGCTGGGAAAGTTCACACCGCTTTCCCTCACTCTTTCACACACTGAAATCCATGTGATGAGAGGCAGAACAGAAGGCGATGTCCTTGCTATGGTTTCGTGGGTTACGGTAGTGTGGGTCTAGCAATTACCAAAAATTGTGCTTTGAGAAATCAGTACACTCCATAATGAGAGCTCCTTGTTGAGCCTGCCTGTTATATTACTGAAAGATTAACTGTTCTGACCTTGCCTTCTTGCAAGCAGCCTCCAGTTCTCCTACTTCTTCACATGAGGTTCAGTTAGATCTTTGTGTTACTTCCAGTGTGAATTGCACACACACCCCGCAACATCCAATCAGGGGGCATGCTAAGAACAATGTCTCATGCAGAAACGAGGGGCTCTCCTCTGAGGGCAAGTAATTCATACCTCTTTCCTGTATGGGTGTAAGAACCTTGAACAGTGCTTCCCTGCCCCCCATGGGACTGAATCTCATGCACCAATGCAGCGTAGTAGAATCCGTAATGTTTGTAGCAAATTAGGCTTCATTTCTCCACTAGGCTAACAGCCACATTGTCTGTCTCTCTTTCTACTCCTTGTTCACATAGGGCTGAAGTCGTATTAGGGAATATCATCAAGAAGAAAGGATGGAGGTAACTCGGGTCCCCCCCCCCCCCCCCCTCTTTTGCTTTAACTTTTTTTAGCCTGTCTTCTCATAAGGGCTCAGGTAGCCTCAGATCGCTAGACTCAATTGCTGCCGTAATCAAGTTGAAACTAAGACATTGAATCCTTTCCTTTTTGGCCATCAAAAGATGCCCTTCCGGTACTTCTTCGAAATACATGAGAGGGCCGTGCTTCCAAAGTGTATGCCTAGAATGCCGGTCTGTGTATCTGGGGCCTTAAACTGGATGGATACCAGCACAGAAGTAGATCTTCAGGGGTCAAGCAGAGGAGACGAAGATCAGGCATCGCATTCCATCCAAAAGATGGAAATTTCCAGCTTTTGCAGCCTCAGTTTGTCTCAGGGGCCATGCAGGGAAGGAAGAGGATGGTTAACCCTTCCACCTCCCATTCAGCTTCACTCTTTGAAACCTGCTCCCCCACTCTGCTGTTTAGTATTTTCAAGGAGAGAAGATGTGTCATTGAAAACACATCTTTTCACCCTTAAAATGAACACATAAAGCTGCCTTATACTGGGTCAGACCATTGGTCGATCAAGGTCAGTATCGTCTGCTCTGAGTTGCAGAGATTCTCCAGGGTCTCAGGTGGAGGTCTTTCCTGTCACCTTTTACATGATCCTTTTAGCTGGAGGTGCCAGGTAAGTTTTTGCCTGTGAAGCCACAACAGCACCCTGGCTGATAGCAAAGCAGGAGAACCAGTTTTGAAAAATAAAATGGAGACTGAAGAGTTAATCTAACATCCGTTCCCTAAATAGCCCCAAGGCACAATGAGGCTGTACAAGCCTGCAGTTTTGTGGGCAGACATTGATCTTCTTTATCTAGCTTGTTTAAGCAAAATACCTGGGTCTCTACCAAACAGCTGCAAAGCCATAGGGAGAAGGGAAAACTTGCAGTGGAGAAGAATTGGATGGAAGGGAGGTGCATAGTTCTCCCTCTGCCCACTTCTCCGCAATCCCCTCCCCCGTCCCCCACTTTTATGTGTTACAACAAATCCCGGCAGAGTGGTGCTGATTCATATCCTGAAATTAAAAATCTGCGTTGCCTTTTCCCTAAGAATGCTGACGTTTGAATCTCAGCCAGTGTCACATGCACACTTATGCATACCCGTCACCGCTCGTTCTGCTTAGATTGTTTGTTTGTGTTAAGTTCTAAACTGCAGCAGAACTTGGCCATTGCTTTATTTGCAGATCCCATGCAGAGGTTCACGTGCAAGTGACAGTTCACTGTAGCCACGAACATGAGTCCCAGTGGCCAGTCACCATGAAGGCAAGGGCAAAACCAGCTCTTTAAAACGAGTCCTGTTTGCTTCTCTTGCTCCTGCTGTCATAACTTCCAGGCTATGCCACCCTGACGCAGTCTGGGTGCAGCTGTTTCTTAAACCTGTCTGGAAATTGTTTGGTTCTGAAGATGTCAGCCCACCTGCTGGTCTTCAAAGAATGCCTCTCTTTAGGAAGATGATACACAGAATGGAGTATGCTTGTGCAGAGGGCGGACCTTGCATTTTGTCCAGATTTTCAGCAGAGAGGGCAAGGAGTGATGGTAGCCATGACCGGGAGGGGGCATGGACCACCGTGGAGGAAATTGACTTGGGTTGGGGGAGTGGGGGGGGGGTTCTAGGCATTGCGTTGTCCCTACCACCTTCTTTTTGCCATCCATCTGAATCCTCATGTTTCAGCAGGTAATTTGCCAAAGGTGTCAGATCTGTTCCCCCTTTCCTGTTTTTTCTGTCATATAGAGGTAGAATTGTTAGACTAGGGGGAGGGGAAATGCCCCAAAGAGATTTTCTTCTATCCATCATTGATTCATATGGCTTCTCCACCCCTGCCCTTTCTTTCTGTCTCCTTGCAGACGTTCCAGCCTGGTGATAACAACCAAAATCTTCTGGGGAGGAAAGTATGTCATGATTTCAACAATTAAGCCATGCACCATTCGAGTCAGGAACACCAGCCGTGTATGGGGTCCCCTTTAACAGTTTCAGAACCTCAGTTCCAGGGGTTAGGGATTCTCCTTCCATTCCATGTGACTAACTGGAAGGAAGAAAGAGCCTCTAAGTGTATCTGGAGCGCTGACAGAGTACTTCATAGAGACCATGCATGAGTTTGGGTTTAGAGATAATATTTTCAGGGTTGGTGTGGGGAGGTAGCTTTAGGTCAGGGGCAATGTTCCCTTTAAGATGAGTTAGTGTGAGCTAGCTCACAGTTTTTTAGCCTCCAGCTCACCCATTTTTGTCTTAGCTCAGGAAGGAGGGCTCCAGAGCAAACTAATTTATGCAGTAGACAAATCGCTCGCTCACAACTTTAATGCCAGTAGCTCGCAAAGTAGAATTTTTGCTCACAAGACTCCACAGCTCAGAGGGAGCATTGGTCAGGGGTGGCCAAAGTTGCTTAATGTAAGAGCCATATAGAAGAAAATCAGATGTTTGAGAGCCACAAGACATGAACAAATATTAAGGTAAAAGTAAAGGTTTCCTTGCTCGAAAGCCAGTCGAATTCGACTCTAGGGTTGCGGTGCTCATCTCCGTTTCAAAGCCGAAGAGCCAGCGCTGTCCGAAGACGTTTCCGTGGTCATGTGGCCAGCATGACTAAACACCAACGCTGTTACCTTCCCACCGAAGTGGTGCCTATTTATCTACTTGCAATTTCTTGCTTTCGAACTGCTAGGTTGGCAGGAGAACAAATATTACAGACATGTTTTTATTGGAAAGTATGCAAATTTGCTTTTTATTAACATTAAATAACACTGCCAGAAATAAGAACAAAATGGGCAAAAACAGATATTGTTCCCCCCCTCCCACTTCAAGCCTATCCAGGGAGGGGATCCCTGGCTAGGGAAGGGAAGACCGGTTGGGGAGGCATGACTCCCCTCTTCACTTCCTCAGCCCCCCCCCCCCCAGGAGCCGCACAATATGTGTGAAAAACCCGCATTAATAAAATGTGGCTCCCAAACCGCAGTTTGGCCACCCCTGCTTCAGGTGGTCCTGAACGCCAGGGCCTCCCTTTCTATGCATTCATCTCTGTCGTTCTGCATTAACAGATTATGTTATGTCTTCTAATTACCTTTCGGGTCTGGATCTGTCCTTTTTCTAGAGCCGAGACAGAGAGAGGGCTTTCGAGAAAGCACATTATAGAAGGTAAGGTGCCGCATCAGTCGGAACCAAAATGCCGTGGGCCTTTGTCTCCTGGGGCAACCACAGGGGAACCTTTAGTTTTAGGGAGCCTTGGGGCAATTGCCAATTTTTCCTTTTTTTCTCACCATGCCTCTTGTAGGTGCAGGCCAGAACTGAGACCATTCAGCCAAATGGGAGGGAGGCTATTTAAATCCAAATGAATTTGTTATTTCCCCTCTCTAGTCCCATGCCTGCTCTATAATACGTTTCTATCCACTAAGGGAGGGGGGGTATCTAGCATTGTGAAGACATGACTGCTCTGCCAGTTCAGAGGAGTTCACTCCTTACTACCTGTATCCCAGGGATCCTGGGGGCTTTAGTTCCGGTTGGGCTTGCAACCAGAGAATTCTCAGCTGTCTCACAAAGCAGCAGTTCCTATGGATCTCTGGGAGAAAGGCATGGCCGTGGAAGTGGCCTACAAGTGCTCTAAAGGGTTCTGTGTCCTCAAGCATAGCTGGGGGGTTTGAGCTGCATCATGACTTCTGGCAACCCCATAGGGTTTTCAAGGCAAGAGACGAACAGAGTTGGTTTGCCATGGCTGTCCTCTGCGTGGAAACCCTGGACTTCCTTGGAGGCCTCCCATCCATATACTGACCAGGGCCAACCCTGCTTAGCTTCCGAGATCTGATGAGATCAGGCTAGCCTGGGCCAATCCATTAGAGGAAGAGCAACGGAGAGCCAGTTTGGTGTAGTGGTTAAGTGCGCGGACTCTAATCTGGGAGAACCGGGTTTGATTCCCCACTCCTCCGCTTGCACCTGCTGGTGTGACCTTGGGTCAGTCACAAGCTCTGGCACAGCTATCCTTGAAAAAGAGCAGTTTGTGTCAGAGTTCTCTCAGCCCCGCCCACCTCTCAGGGTGTCTGTTGTGGGGAGGGGAAGGGAAAGGAGTTTGTAAGCCGCTCTGAGACACCTTTGGGTAGTGAAGGGCGGGGTATAAATCCAATCTCTTCTTCTTCTTCATTAGTGAAATGGGGTCTCAAGACCCAACTGTTCGTTCATTCATTCCCTCTCCCCCTCCCCTCTGCGTAAGAGTACCAGTGGAGATTCTGGGTCTGTATGCCCACCTCTTTAAGGGACCCACCCCGAAGGGTCCCCCATATCCTGGAGCTAGCATGGGTCTGTAGCCAATGAAGGATATTAGAGAACGGGAGAAAGAGGAGAGGAGAGAAAGAGGCAGATGCTTGTTCGATTCAGGAAGGCCCTTTCAAGCAACAGGGGCATGTAGTGGTCAGGCCGTGTCTGATGTTTTGTCGTCTGGCCCCTTTCCCTGCCCCCCCCCCCCAGGCTTGAAGGCTTCATTAGAACGGCTGCAGCTTGAGTACGTGGACGTGGTGTTTGCCAATCGGCCAGACCCCAATACACCCATGGAAGGTAAGTCTGGCTTCCAACTTTTACTGCCTTTCTTGTTGCTCCCGTCGCTCCACCCTGGGGCTCTGCAGGGCTGGAGTGTGGCGAGGGAGCCAAGCAATATGCTCAGTCCTTGCCAGAACCAGGGTCAGCCATGTTAAAATTAGAGGCGTCTCAATATTATGCCCCCAAAGATATACAGGTCTGCCCAGTATGTGCATCTGTGTGAGTCACTGGTCCAAGCATGGTTTCTGGATCAGAAGGAGATGATCCAAGAATTCTGCTTTATTCAGGGGTACGACAAGCAAACTGTTCCGAAGGTGGAAAATTCTGTCCGGTGCCTCCTCATCTTAAGTGACTGAATGATCCAGTCATACCAAGTGCAGATTCATGGCGGGATTACCTATTCCCTGCAGAGGTGGACTGGAAGGAGGCAGCACCAGAGCAGTGACTCATGCAGAGACAGATGGCAGTCTCCTCTAAGGGGAAGCTACACCGGCCTTAAATTTTTCAGCTTTCCCCCCTCACATTCTGAGAATGACAAAAGCGGGAACTCAATTGGCCATGCTCACCAGCCTTTCCATAGGAGAAAAACAGAAGCCAGAATTGACACAGAGATGGGCAATGGGAGCTGCCCCCAAAATCTTCTGTGCCAGCAGCAACAGCTTAATTTCCTTCCACACTCGAGCAGCCCTCTCCATGTGCTTCCCTGGATCAGGGAGTTGCCACCAGAGTACTCAAAGCAGATGACTGGGAGAGTCTGAGGGGTGGGGGACTGCTGTGCCACTACCAGCCTTCCTCAGTTTCCCCCTCTGTTTAATGGTGGTGGAAGTGTTTGTGCAGTTGGGAAGACCAGGGGGGCTGGCACACGACTCCTCTCCCCAGTTACCTGAAGATTCTGCTGTTGAGCGGAGCGGCCCCGCCCTCTGTTTCCCAGTAGAACCTCCTTTCCCCTTTACCATGTCTAGCTCTATCCATCTTCCCACTTCTCCGAGGAGCTCAGGGCAGCATACGTGGTTCTCCCTTCCCCGTTTTATCTTCACAGCAGCCCTGCGAGGTAGGTTGGGCTGAGAGATGGTGACAGGCCCAAGGCCACCCAGAGAGTTTCACTGATGAGTGACAATTTGCACTGGGGTATCCCCCAGGCCCTAGCTGTATGGAACGGGGACATCCTTGGGGGGGCCAGCCCTACTCCCTCCAGTACAAACAAGATGTGGGGGGGGGGTAGCAAATTAATTGGAGTAGCAAAGAAGCCTGGGCCAGATCCTTCACCCACTTAAGGATCACTAGGGAAGTAGTCCGTCTCCCCCAGCCCACAGACTTGAGTCCCGGATGGTACTGCTGTTGGTGGAGGTGAGCATGCCTCCCTCGGCAACGTCTAGGTTGGAATCTCTTCCCTTCATTCTCCTGCCTCCCACCCAACATCCTCTCTGTTTCTCCTCCTTTCCTCACTTAGGGATGGAAGCCTCGATTCCTTGCCCACCTCTGAATTTTGTTTCTCTTCTGCCATATCTCTCGTGTCTTTGTGTGCATGTTTCGTTTTGAAACCCACGAGTGTACAGATCTCAAGGTCAAGATCTTATATATCGTTTCCCGTCATCAGATATTCTTTCCACCGTTTAAAAGTGCCATTTGGGGTGTCCTGTCTGTTTAGGTACTCAGTCTATAGGGAGTACTTCGCCCTCAGGGAGCCTCAAAGCAGCCCTGTGAGGTAGGTAGGTAGGTTAGCCCAGAGGGTTGTGAAAGGGCCGCCTAGTTGGAGCCCAGGGACCCTGTTTGTTTTTTTAAAGATTTGTTTCCTTTGGAAAATGCAGATTCCGCGATCATGCTGGAAAACAGAGTGTAGAGAGGGAAGGGCACATTAACTCTTTCCTCCCCGCCTGTGTCCTCCCCTCCCTGAGCTGGTTTTACCCCTACTAGGGGGTAGATGTCTAATTGTGAATGTCAAAGGGGGGATAGAAGTCAGAAACGTGGGGGTGGGAGCCCATTTTTTTACACATCGTTTAATGGGGGGGGGGGATGGAAATGCTGGGGAAAGTGGAACAGCTGATCCCTGTGTAACTTTTATTTTCTGAAAGTGAAGGATAGAGGTGTGTTTTTTTTGCAGAGCAGTATTGTAAATGCTGCCGTCCAAGACGTCATAATGCTGTCTGACGTACTGCAAGATGCCTTCTTATTTTTATGTTTCCCTGGGCCTTGTGAGGGAGGGGGAATTAAACCGTTCCTTAGTGACCCCCTTGCAGCCTCTCACGTCCACTCTGTTCTCCTTAGTTCTTCCCCTGCCCTCTTTGCTTTCAGGGGAGGACTGGCTCTTTAATTTACTGGGAAAGTTTCCGGTGGGCCACTGACCTGAAGGGCCACTGGGGACCAGAAGCAGTCTAGCAATGGTGGCAGCATGGCTAGAGGCACCTGGCTCATACCCAGCGGACACCACTGATGCCATCTGTAGGCACCCCATTGCCCCTTCCCATCCAGCTGCCCCCCAGGTCCGAGCAGGGCCTCAGCTCTGCTCCAGCAGGCAGTGGCGCGGAAAGAGACTATGAGGAAGACCTGGTTTGTTGTCGTTGCCATCCCAACCCGGGTCTAAGACGAGGCTCTGTGCAGAGCTCCTGGCTCCGCAGCGCACACCTGGGCCATTTTATCATCCCAGCCTTGGCCGGAAAGGGTGTGGCTTGTCAGGCTCAGCAGCAAGTACATCTCCACACACGTTTCCTTAGAAGCGTTATGCTTTATTAGATTACAAAACTGGTACCGTATCCACAGGGTTATTGTTAGGAATGACCATGGGGCGGAAACACCCTTATATATAGCAGGATGAGGCAAATGGCTAAGCAAATGAAATTCGAGCGCGCGTGGGGGAATTCTCCCAGCGGGAGGATACATGATAAGCGGGAGAGAGTCGCAGTGCCTCATGAGAGCCGAAAGATTCACACCGGCGGTGGAACGCAAGCCCTCCCTCCTTCACAAGGCCAGACAGATCACGCCGTCTGGCAGTACCAGCTCTCACGGTCTCCCTAGCAATGTTTACTGCAAGCGGCAGAGCAGCGAGCAAGCCAGGATCAGAAAAGGGAACAAGCAAACCATGGCAGCTAGCGGACAGTGGCTATCTCTTCAACTGCTCTGTGTGGGTCTTCAGCCCCTGTACCTCTCACCCTGCCTCTCCCTGCCATTCTCCCCCACACACACACACACACCTTGTCTGGAACAGGTCACAATTGGAGCCCTTTACTCAGCCATGGCGTGGGGGACATGGACAAAGGGACCATTGGCTGAAGGTACTGTTTCGAATTCCAGCAGCTGGTGAGGTTCTCCAGGTGACATCAAGTGACCGCTCTTAGTTGTGTCCAGAATTCCATCATTTTCAAACCTACAAAGCAAGGACTGGGGGGTGGGTGGGATTTGAACCTGAGAGCCTCTGCATGCAACGTTTGTGCCCGACCCCTGAGCAACAGCCCCTCCCCTCGTACCACCTACGGCAAGAGGGTTAGGTCAGACTATTCCACACATGCCTTTTTTAGTTTCCAAGCAAACCTATGACAGTGTCATAGATGCAACGAACATGAAGTTGAGCAAACCTCAGAGGACGGTGGAAGACCGGAAGGCCTGGCGTGATCTGGTCCATGGGGTCGCAAAGAGTCGGACTCGACTGTGCGACTGAACAACAACAAGCAAACCTACCTGGTCCATAAGCCCACTTGTCTATCAGGGTAGTCCCTTGCAGGTGAGCACCTGGGAATGGGAACAGGAGACCTCTGTTTCCGAGCAAGAATGACTCACTTGGGATCTGAAACGCGGGGGTGGGGAAGCAGGAGGAGTGGCCTTCCCTGGTTGGGATGGGCAGTGTAGCAGCTGGAGGCTTACAGCATTCCAGGGTCTCCGGGGCAAGGGTCTGGGAGCCGAGCAGCCTTTTTCCTTTGGCCAGGCGAGGGCTTGGGAGGAAGGAGAGCCTAGCTCCCCACTCAGGCCTCTCGCGTTGTACCACGGCCTTGCGGTCAGCCAGCAGCTGTAAACTCTGGTCTCTCTTAAATCTTTCTTTTGTCACCAGGGAACCCTTTTAGCTCTTCCAAGTCACGAACGTTCATCATAGAAGGTACACCGTGCCCCCCCCCCCAATATCTTGATTACCTGTGTCCGAGCGGCATTTTATGGGACAGAATCCGTGTACTTTGCTTTCTGACTATTACGACGATTGATCATGAGTATTGACAACATTATCCTTTACTCGGTCTGCAAAAATTCGCCATAAAATGCCCAAAGGAAGCAAAAGAAAGAAAAAAAAAAAGTTTGCCTTTTAGTAACACTTGCAAGTAAAGTTGGAAAAGAAAAAAAAGCAAAACGAACGTTTGTTCCTTCCGTTCCCTTCCTTTCCAATCCATCCCATGTCATATTTTTTTCTTTCTTTCTTTCTGTCTCAATTGCATGTCTCGCCCATACGTGTGTCCGTGGTGCTCTTTGGCCTTCCTCTGACATTTGGCACCTGGGCCTTGGTTGTTGGGGGAGGGGGTTGATTGCCTTGCCCCCCCCCCCTTACACAGCATGCCTGTCATTTTGGGAAAGCAATTATCTCTGGGCTGCATCCAGGAGTCTCCAACCCATGACTTGGGAGCGCAAAGAATACCTGCAGGAAAAGGCAGGTGCCTTCTTGCCACAGCCATTCCCAGGCCGCCTGCATGAGTCACTGTCCTGGGACATGCCTCCAGACCAGCAGAGGCAAGTCCAGAGCAGTTAGTCGCACAGAGACTCCTCTGAGGGCAGGTGAGTCCACTGCATCTCTGCCTTAGGTGTGACTGACACTCCTTCAGTTGTTCCCGCAACAGGGCTCCCTGCTCCCTCCTAAACATCTGAAGCTGCTGTCTACGGAATCAAACCATTCATCCATCCATCCATCCCAGTACCGGCAGCAGCTGTCCAGGATTTCCACCCAAGAAAAGTGTTTCTAAGCCCTTGTTATCAAAGAACCTTTGAACTGAGCTAGGGACTTAAGTGATTCCCCCTTCCCCCAAGAAGAGGCTGGTGGGAGGTCATTTTCTTTACCAGTTGCTCAGACAGAGGCACAACAGCAGCCTTCTGTGAGTTTGCACTTTGGGCCACACGTGGCTTTGGCACAGGGCGTTCGAATGACTGCTTCGGAGAGATCTCAAAGAGCCCCAGCCGGTTTCAAGGACAGATCAGTGCATGGGATGTGGTTCTGTTAAATCTCTGCTCTGCTTTTTGGCATGACGTTTTTTGCCTTGGCTTGAAGGAATTCCAGGAAGTGTTTATTTTTGGGTTGGTTTGTGTGTTTGTTTTTGCCTGCATGTTTCAGAACCCTCATAATGGGGCACTTCTGAGAAGAATTTAAAAGGGGGGGGAGCAAAACAAGGCACCGAGAATGGGGGCTCTGAAAACATCCTATGACCCCATAAAGGTTACTTTAGTGTCAGCATGAGCTTTTGATTAACTACTTCCTCAGACACTTTCAAGCACACCTTTCCAATAACGAGGGCTAGGAACTTGGGCTTTAAAAAAAAAAAACACAACACTTTAGGTGTGTGTGTTTTTTAGATTGCTGAATTCTGTATCCAGTCCCAGATTCTGTGCTCAAGTGGTACAGTACCCATCCCTGCCTTTAAACATCCCTGGTCCGAAGATGGGCTTCGTGTCGAACAAGAAGAATGCGTTTTCAAGGCAAATGTATATATGGCTGTGCATTGCACATTCCAGCCCAAACAACTGAATTTCAGAGTGGTTTCTAAAAAAATGTACAACAAGAGTTAAAATGTCATTTAAAAGGATGCTTATTTATTTAAGAGATGTATTAGCTGCTTACAGTATTAGTATAAAATACATAAAAACGTAAAACCAGCATTTAAAACCCACAGTTTAGGACTGCTTTCATTAAATCCAGCCTAAACGAAACAGTCTTTGGCTGTCTCCTAAAGTTCAGAAGTGGGGGGGCAGTTGCACCTTCTTGGGGGGCTGCCACTGAAGAGGCTGTCTCTCAGGTACCCTTCTCTGTGAAGTTTCATTCCATACTGGAGGGGGGATTGCTTGCTGGCCTCACTCCTCCACAGGGTCCCCCACAAACAGTGGGGTGATGTACGTTAGCTGCCTCCTGTGGTTAGCCCAGCTGGGGTCACCTGCAGGATTTTGTGAGCAAGAAACCCTCACTGGGCCTGGGCCTTCTTAACCCTCACTGGGCTGGGCCTTCTCTGGAGAAGTGAGTGTCCTTTTGCCAGGTGGCTCAAGTAAGTGAGCCAGTCTTTGAGCTACGAAACAGTCACCTTTCAAGTCTGGCAGGTGTGCTGAAGGAACCTTTGCCATTCTTCATGTCAGCAGCACATGGCCTAGTGAAGACCAAGAACACAGAAATCCTTATCTTTTTAAGCCTCTCCACCACCGGCTCTCCAGCTTCTGAGATTTCAAGGACCACAGCCATCGGGGCTAGAAACTTGCTTTGCTTTTTAAGTGAAACCTGAGCTTTTCAAGAAACTGCAGTCTTTGCTTTAGATGGACTGCTGGGCCTTTCAGTGAGGATTTTAATGGAACGGGAGAAGAGACAGCTCCTCTTTTCATATCCTGCTGTTACAGTCTTGTGGCCAGCCCCTCTCCCTGAGTTAAGTCCCTCCACCCCTCTGCATCTGGCTGTGAGCCCAGAGCCGCTTACGTGAGCTGGCAAAAGGTTCACCCACTCAGTGCGAACCAGCGGTGTCACTTGCTTAGTTTGCTTCCAGGACCCTTGCAGCAGCAGGGAATGAGAATCTTAGAATGTTAGAGTTGGAAGAGACCTTGCAGGTCATCTAGTCCAACCCCCTGCACTCTGCAGGAGCATAGCCGAAAGATAGCCCTACACAGGGCTTTTTTT